TGAGCTAACAAAATTTATCTATGAACAATCTCTAAAATTTGATGTATTAATTTATTTACAAAATAAAATTGTATTTCCTGAAGTGAAATGCCTAAAATAGAGTTCTCTGAAAAATTCTGACATATAGCTTTCCAAAATTATATATGATAACAACATTACTAAAATTATAAGCAATACAATTCAATATCCACTCTGATGTAAGTGGAAGACTTGCACAAAGGTAGCAGAACTTTTGTCCCAGTGAAAATACTAAAACATAGAGTGCTCCTCAGCACTCATCATGAGTGAGCTCAGAATTATTTTCTCAGGAGGAAGCAATGTATGACCTGAGGGATATATGAGACTGAGAAGACTAAAATGACTGGAACACATTTGAGAACTTTCACACTGCACCCTAAATCATCACATGTGTTTAGGAGTTCACAACCTCTTTCCAAGTGTCCTGGTTAACACTCAGCCATCTTCACATTAAGAAGAAATAGGAGGTTGGCATGACAACTCAGTAAAATGTATAGAAAGCAAAACTGACTGAGCAAAACATAGACTTAGGATTAGTCTGACCAACAGTTTTCTCTAAATGATTTTTCCCATGGCATTTTCTTTCCATATTAAACTTTTTTTTCTTTAATGGGTTGTGGGTTAATGTTTCTCAGTATGGGTTGATTTCAAGGGCATTTCTTGACATTTTAAAATTATGTTTATGTCAAAGTAATTAGATAATTTAAGTGAGTCTTATTACATATGCAATAAATACTGATAAAAATTATTACCACTTTTTGAGCATACGAGTCAAAAACAGTCTGAATTAGATGTGGCCAGGATAGAAAAAAAATGTAATATAAACAGAAATGAATCACCTGACTTGAATAGGAAAAGAGTAGATATCTACCTGTGTAGAATGATTGTAGAGTTGATACATAGCCTTCTACAACCCTCACCAGTTCACCAAGCAATCTAAAAATGCTAAGCATTTATAGAATCATGGACTCCCAGAATTGTTTATTTTCCAAGCAATGTTAGAAATCTACCTTCTTAACATTATCAGTGAGTGGAAATGGAAACCTAGAGAAGCTAGCTGGATTTTCATACATTATGTAGCCAATCTGTAGTATAATTCCATCCATGCATTATTATCAACTCATGTGACTATATTCACATAGGAATGAGGCAACCCCAAAGAAGCTATTTGCTGAATTAAGGTCCATTATACTTATTTTCCCTTAGTCAATATTACTAACACTATTCTCTACTCCTGGATTGCCATTCTTTGTGTTCCAATTCAATACTTTGTATTTCCCACTTTTTCCTTAAGTTCTAACTCAAATTCAACCTGGTTGATTAGGCAATCTATACCTGCCTTCTCTGGTACTCTCTTTCTTATGATATGTATGTGTGTTTAGTGATTTTTTATTTGCCATATATCACACACTGACAGACTTCAGCTTTCACCTTATTTTTTTAAAACTGCTCTTATAAATTAGCCTATAGTCCAAAAAAAGTTCCAAGATCATAGGAATCAGTCTGAGTTTATCACTTCTTTGTGGTCATAAGCTTAACACAAGAAAAAGGAAGCCTGGAGATATGAAATTACTCTGGCTTCAATGTTGATATTGGATTGGAAAAGATCAAAAGTAGATGTAGAGAAAAATTAGGTAGAGGATTTAAGTTTTCTACTTGTCCATACACTTTATATCAACAGGTGATAAATCTAACACAAGTCAATAAAATTCTGGGTTGATTAAGGACTTAAATGCAAATGAAATTTTAAGAAGCATAAATAAAATGTAGTCATGCTAGGAAGGTCTTCATAAATTTAAGTGAAGAGGGATACAACATAATAGTAAGTTTGAGCACTTTAAAAAACATATGCTTTAAATATTACCATAAGTAACTTAAATGGGATCAATATTTAACATTTAAAATATAAAATTATTAATGTTCTGATCAAAAGAAAATCCCCAAAGGCCTGCAATTCAAAACTTTAGATTGTGAGAGAAAAAGTGTTAAAGATTATGAATTAATTATAAGTAATACAACAATTAAAAGTTGTTAATGATTATAGGTGTCACATAAACTCTACATGGAGAATTAACGTGTAAAAACATGCAGTTTCTTATGTATTTTGAAAATAATATAAGTATATCAATTTCTAACTGATAGGAAACAATTTTTACTAATTCTACGAAAGTCAATATCAAATGATATTCAGATGTTTATGCTTTTCCTGGCAATAACTCTACTTCTTTGAATTTCTCTTAAGGAAATAATCAAAGATGTGAGCAATGATTTAGGGACAGAAATATTCATATCACTATTTTTAATCACATATAAAAATATGAAAACAATCTAAATACCTATTGGCAGAAAGACAACTGAATAAGTATGTTCATATAATGAAATATTAAATGTCATTACAATCACAATTCTGAAGAAAACATTTAGTAACACACAAAAAGAATGATAAAAAGTTGAATGAATGTGGCTGGGACTGTAGCTCAGTGACAGAGTGCTTGCCTAGCATGTGTAAGGCACTAGGTTTGATCCTCAGCACCACATAAAAATAAGCAAAATAAAATAAAGGTATGCTGTCCATCTACAACTACAAAAAAATGGTTTTTAAAGTTAAGTGAAAAATATTGATACATAAATTATAGAGAACATCATCCCAATTGAGTTTGTGTACATACATCATGAAGGGCTATAGTTTTACATGAGTCTAAATACTTCTCCATATTTCTTAAGGCCATTAAAATGAAAGTGTTAGTTGAATTAAGAGAAATAATTATCATAAAAATGTTAATAAAGGGGAATAAATTTTATTAATTAAAAAATTATATATTTTAAAGTTTAAACATTATGTTGGTCTGAATCTAAACTAATTTTGTATTGAGGGAGTATATTAAGAAAAAATACTGTTGGATAGAGTCTTTCATTCTCCTTTGATTTTCAGTTACTAGACCCATCAAAACCATTCTGACCTGAAAAAATTCTCATTTAGTCAATAAAACAATTCATTTTGTCACAAGTTTCTTAAGCTTTCTTCCATATATTTTAGGGATCTGGATTAAAATTACTATTTACCATGTCCTTATCAATTATTCATTTGCAAGCCATTTCTTAAATTGATCTACTTTCCTGGAAAATTGATAGCACTATATGTTGTTGAATTTTTGCTAGGTTGTTCCCCAAATAGTAATTATAAAAATAAATAAAATAAGAGAAGTTTGCAAATTAGGTACTAATTCTCATTTCCCTCCCTAACCCATTAGTTAATCCTCCACTGGAAAAAGTACTGAGTCTCCTGGATATTGTCAAATTCATTAAGCACTTGGAAATGGCTCTGTAGAATACTAAAGTTGAATCTCACCTCACCTCTGAACAGCAGTATATATTAGACAATATGCAAGGAATTTAAATTACATATTTCCTTTACCTGTCATCTATGTAATCCTAAGTAATTTAATTATACTTTCTAAGTTTCACTTGCAGCAATGACACATACCTCCCTTGTAGTGTTATTACAGAGGCCAAAGCACATAAAAACTTTAAAATGACAAATACTTATTTGTTGCACCACCACTTCGTCATTTTCAAGTCTTAAACCAGCCATACTGTGTACTTGGAATTTCAGAATAATTACAACCTGTGTGAGTAGCTGAAAGCTTGTATTGGGAGTATTTGAGAACTTGATGTTTAGATGCCTGAACACCATTTTACAGTTTGTATTAGATTGAATTGCTCATTGCTTATAAAAGGTTTCAACATTTGTTTTTTGGGGGAAAGAAAAAAGTGAGCATTGAAAAATGTGTGCTGAAGGCAGCCAGATATTAGATTCCCATATCTCCTGAGCAACTTCCACAAAACGATGTCAGATTCTGACAGGGACTAAGCAGCTTCCCTGCAGCCAACAATGTGTGTCAGACAGGCCGAGTTGCTGCTGTCTTGGTACCTTTTTTTTTTAACCCCTCCATGCCATTTTTAATCATATGAAAACCACCACAATATTGAGTTATACTCTCCATCACAAAGCACAAGATAGAACATATAAAATACAGACAACCCAGAAAAAAGCAGAGCCTAAGTCCTCAAAAGTGAGATTTGTCTTTTTTATAGATTTCTGGAAAGCACACTGTAAATTTTTCCAGTAACTAGCCACTGGGGTCATATTTCCAAGCAGCATTTACAGAGTGAAAGGTAATGCAAGGCAGTTAGAATATACATGAAGGATAACCATTCTTTTATCTCCACACACTAGAGTGTTTCCAGGACGAGAATAATCAAAATGATATTACATTTAAGGGTAACGATGAGCAAGAACATTAGGACATCAGACAGAATATCAGTGAAGCCATAATGTTTTGCAGTGGAAGAATTGTGGTGGAGAAGAGCACACTGGAAGCTAATTTGCTATGACAATGGGAACTGCCCGTGATGGAAGGGGGATGACTTAAGGTGAGATCAACAAAGGCGGCTTTGTCTTCTAGCATCATTTTGCCATACTAAAGAAATTTTCTCTCTACCAAGTTCTAGATGCAGAAGTTACATTTCAGAGCCAGACATACACACACAAAAAGCTGCTTGCATAAAATTTTTGCATTTAAGAAAAATACTCAATATGTCTTATTATATGACAGAAGATATTTCCTGTTTGAAAATATAGTTAGTGAAAGGATCTATCCAAAAAAAAAAAAAAACAGTCTCCTGTAAGTTCAGTAATCTATTAAATTACTAGTTTTATGTTATAAGCAGAAACACGTTGATAAAGCCAACTGAGCATTAATTATAATTTTTTGCAGTGGATTCTTGGGCAGCTCTTCTATTTATCGAAATTCAGGGTATAACTTGCCTTTTTCCTGCACTGGTCCACCCCTTGATAAATATTAGTCATTCTTCCATGCTCTGTCCAAGAACCATGTCCTTTCTGAAGGCTTCTATCCACACTGGGAGGATGAATTAGTCACCTCCCTTGTGCTTCTGAAATTTACCCACAGTTGTCTTTATTTTATCTCCCAACATATTGTAAGTCTTCAAGAAACAACAACTACAGATATCAACACATATTCCCCATGCTGACATGCTACCTGCCAAATAACGTGCTAATGACAATTATTATAAGTTCTAAATAAACTATCAAATGATCAAGTGGGTAGACTTTTTCAAAATTTGAGTCAGAAATGAATGGACTCCTCTAAAATCTGCTCAGGTTGTAGTTGTCACAGTGACCATTGCTGTCTGGCTGCCTCAGGAGGAAATTCTGGCTCCAGGCTGGCTCCAGCCCCATGTCATTGTTGGGAGCTATAATTGAAGTTGAGCATATCAGAATGCACAGAGGACAGGAGGAAAGGATAGCCTGGGAAAAAAAGAAGCAAGACAAGTGGTTAGGAGGAGAGATGTGGTAGGAAAGACAGTCATTTTAGATGATAAGTAAGACCTGTAATGTAGATTTGAATAAAAGAGTCAAATCCTATTAAAAAGTTAGAATGTACCTTAGAGGAGACAATAACAACAACAACAAAATGTACATTAGAGGACACAAGCAAAACAGTTGCTATTTTTTAAATAGGTTGATAGGGTATGTATCAACATAATCTTTGATGCTTGTACTTTTTCTTTTCATGTGGAAGAACCAGAGAGTGATAGAAAGTATCTGAGCTTTGGTGTCAGCTGAAAATTTTTAGCCCCAGAAATTTGCCGATGCTCTCTGATCCACACTTAGAACATCTTCATATTGGCAATAATATCTTGCTTCTGAAGCTGTCATGAGAATTTAATGAGGTGTTACGTGACATGACCTAGCACAATGACAAACTGTGTCCAGGAATAAATGTCTTCTTCCTTCCTCACTGCATCCTGTCCTTCTCTTCCTTCTTCTCCTTCATTTCACCTACTGAAGTATCTTTGTTTAACATTGCTATCAACCTAAATAGATGTGCAAAATCTTAAAGCTTCCAAAATAAAATTGTTCTTATGCCAACAAATTAGTTGGTACGTGAAATTGGGCCTAAAGGAGGCTGTCACTCAATATGCGTTGATTGATTGATATGGCTCGGTTTGATTGAAACATCAGACATTGGAGACACATAAAATGTGAGTCCATCACTACTCATAATTTCTATGTTGTCGACTCCTGACGCAAGCCCTTGAAAGGCCCTTTCTTATTTCAATGTGTCTTTCATACATTTCACTTAGAAGAGCCTCAGGCCCCTTAAACATTTCCAAGACTAAATATAGAACCATCTCCTCAAACACCCTAATTCCCAGATAATTTTCTAAACCATTCCAAATTACCCCTTTGCCCCATGTTTGACATTTTTACGTCATCTTTAACTCTTTCCTCTCTTTTTTCCCTCTAATTTCTCTCTTTTTTCACTTTTTTTTCTAATTCCCCATTTCTTCCCCAATAAAGGAAAACTATTATTCTCCATCCTTATCACCTTTCTTTAAAAGAAAACGGTATTTTTCAATCGCTTCTTCCTTTATATAATTTACCAAACATTTGCTGATGGCATATGACGTGACACACACTCTTCTGACTTTTAAGGGGACAACAACAAGAAAAATAAGATAGACATAATTTTTGCTACCATGGAATTATAATGGAATGTAAGATTGTAAAGAGTTAAGGAAGACACACATAGATATTGGTACATGCTATAAAAATAGAGAGTAGTAGAGTAGTGGGAAATAGTGGAGCATTAGAAACAAGAAAATTCTTTGAGGAGGTGAGTTATAAGCTGAGATTTGAAGAGACTAAACCAGGAGAAAAATCACTAGGCCAGATGAGATTGGAGTAAAGGGATTTGTCCTTCTGGTTCCCTTTAATTGATGTAGCCTCAAGCTGGCTCCTAATCCTCCCCCTCCCCTTAATCTCTCCATGGCTAATGGTGACAGCTCTGCTACTGCTACTAGCTCCAGGTACCTGAACTATCTCTTTTGATTTCCCCATTCCTCACCCATACCTTTGTAATTAGTCACTTTGTAAATAAAATCTCCTCAAATTATCCTAATTTGAATGTGCCATCTGTTTCCTGTGGATTCCCTGACGGATATAGTAATTTATACTGAAATGGCCCTCCATATTGGGTTCTGCTGTCGTGTTAGTCATATATTGGAGTACTGCAGGGTAGCCTCCTTGCTGGGAGACAGAGGAGAGGAGTGTGACACAGGAGGGGCACGGGTAATCTATGGTATGTGATGGCATCCTGATTACTCAAATGAACACTGGGGACAGCGTGAGATGAAAGGCAGATGGAGAACAGAGCAAGAGGGGATCAAAGATCTGAGTTACTTAGCTGATAACACCACTAGAGTGATTAAGGGATTACCTGGCTTCCCTATTAAACTTTAATAAGCTATGTAAGGGAAAATAGAATTACGTATACAAATTAAGTGCATATGTGGAGAAGCACAAGGTTACCCAGGCAGCTTCAAACCATTTTCCTTAATTGCAGAACAAATAAGACTGAGGTCCAGGTCTGGGTCTGTTTGGAAAATGTACAGAATTTTGCACTGCTTTAGTTCTTTACCATACCATGTTTCTCACGGCAAAGCAAAAGGGCCTATTGGTAAGGAATGGCATCTTCACCATTGTGAAAGATCATTTTAACGTATGTGGGCATATCAACGTATAAGGGTGGAAAACTTACATGTCAAAATACCTTCTGTGTATGAAAGCTTCAAATAACGGGAGTAACTGCTGGTTCTTCTTTTTAGCCCCACTCATTTGTCTACAGGCACATATGAAATAGAAGCCTACTTTTGAGCAGATAGTTTATAATCCAAAGCGTTCAAAAGGCTTGCTGATCAGTTTGGGCAGGTACTTGGAGAATGTGGGGAAGGTAGATTCTATGATTATTATAACAAAAAAATAGAAAATATAAAACTCAAGGGAGCAAAATTCACCTATATTAATATGTGTCCTTGACCTATATTTGAAAAATAGGTAGGCTTGAGGACCTGAGTGTGGCACTAGGTTGGATAATCTAACCTGGACCCACTATGACCCACAGTTAATGGTGTCAAAAGGCTGAAAACTTATATGGCATACTATACAGAAAAGATTTCAGAGTTAAGGAGAATGAGATTGTGAGAATGGACTTATTATGTGAAAGGCTCAAAAGTAAAAAGCAAAACAAAACAAAACAACAGTCTTTGCACCATGAAGACGTAATTGTATGGGGATTGGTGAGGGAGCCACCCGTGTTCTTGAAGACGGTGGTGGTAGGGGAGAGTGATGCAAGTAGGTTTCCTGATTTCAATGGGCATAAGAGGACCCCAGAATTGTATCATTCTTAGCTTTTAGATAGGTTAGGTCAATTATCAAAATATACCAGAAGAATGGAATTGTATGAGGAATATTTTAACTCATAGATATTTTTTCATAATGTCATTTATCAGGAGGTCCCTAGAAATTGAACAGATGGGCAAACTTGTAAAGTGTTTAATGTTACATATGAAGGAGCAGAAGAGAATCATGGTCATCTTTGAAAAAGCCTCGCTTGAATTGCTTGGGTGGAGATTTATATAGTCTTTTACCCATATTTGGAACTAAGCTAATTAGCCCTTAGAAGAAGTGCTATAAATGTCATAGGATGGATCATGAATTTTTCCCAAGACTATTACTCTCTTGCCCCAGAGCTTTATCATCTCTCTTATACCTTGTTATATGATAGAGGAATTTTTTTCACCCACGTATCCCACAAAATGTCATGTGGATCCATACATTGATCATATGACACCAACTGAAACAGTTTCACAGGAAGCAATGAGTACCTTTGATCCCTTGGTGAGACATTGCATGTTAAAGAATGGGAAGAAAACCCTATTGAATCTCACAGAATTACTATATCAAGAAGTGTCTGGGAATTCATAAACTTGAAATATACCTTCCATAGAGAGATATGACTCTGTACCTGTACTTTCTATTGCTAAGAAAGAGATAGTGACTTGGTAGTTCTTTTTGCATGGGGAGGCTTTGAGCGGAACAGATTGGGTCTTATAGCTGAGCAGGCCTAGTGATACTGCAAGTGTCTATTGCAGAGAGAAATGTTGGCGAACCCATGCAATAGGAAAACCTCAGCACAAATCCTTAGGATTTTCTTTAAGATTATTCCCTTTCCTGAAAACAACAATTGGAAAGGTTGCTCCTGGCTTGCTTCTGACCTTATTAGAAACTGAAAGACTGACCACAGAATGTCAAGTGCCTATACAGCACAAATTTTACATCACTAACTGGGTCATGGAGAATATAATATCATAAAATTATATGGGCATGATAACATTTCATTACGGAATAGCAGAAACATGTGCATAAGTTGGGCCCAGGAATGTTCAAGCCACAAGCATCAGTAGAATAGTTTCCCTCCTGAAAATCTGAAGAAGAAAACATCCAATCCTTCTCTTCTAGCTTCTGGTGGTTTCCATCAATCCTTGGCTTTCTTTGGCTGGTAGATACATCATTCTACTCTCTGTATCCATCATCCCATTGATTTGTGTCTCCATGTGTCCTATTTTCTTTTAAAAGGATGTTTTCACTAGATTTAGAACCTACCCTAACTCAGTAGTCTCATCTTGACCCTTACATAATCACAGACACAAAAACCCCTACTGCCAAATTAGGTTACATTCAGATGTTCCAGGTGTATCTGAACCCTGAAGGAATATGATTTGACCCACCACATCATCTGAACACAGAATGTATTTTATGGCAAATAAAATACATCAAAGATCCCAATTATAGAGAATTCACTGATCTTCCACATGTCCCGTCATTTAGGAACATCTGGCTTGATAAAGTGATAGGATGTCCTGGAAAATGATATTAAAGTGATTCCCTAGATTATTTGGTACTTATTACTGTTCATATATCTAGGACAAATAGGTCTGGTAAACAACCCTATTAATATTGATATAGTAACCCAATAGAGGAGTCCTTGATAAGTGTGTTTGTGATCTTGGGCTAAGTATATTTGGAGTCCTTATAACTTAAGTTACCTGGGGTCAGAGAAATTATTCCAGTGAATTTCAACTCAAGACTGCTGTATAGTGTTTGAGAACTCTTTATTCTTTTGCATCAATAAGTAGAGAAGGGACACCTGGAACATCTCCCATATTCCCATATAAAATATAGCCCATTCAACCAAAAGAAAAATCAAGGAGACAGATCATGTTGGAATGAAGGTTTTGGTCACCTGATATGCTGGCATAAGCTAGGAAAACTTTCATGGTGGGAAAAGACCATTATGAATTCCAATTTAAATGAGCAACTACCGAGAAGGGAGTACAGTGGTTTCATATGACCATGTTGTGTCTTTCTCCATCTTCTTTTCCTCTATGATGTCATCAGAACACAAGATGTGACAAACATTTTATATTTCACCTGAGAATATAACTAAATTGTTGTTACCACACAGTGATGGGACTTCAAAGTACTCCCTGTGTTTAAATCAAAACTTTCACCCTGATAAAGGGCAGAAATAGGGGTGAAAGTATAAAATCTGCAGACTGGCGAGACATCTCCATTTGTTCTCCTAGATCTGCTCTCTGTCCTTCTTGGTCTCTGCATTGCCCTCCAAGGCTGCCCCTGGTAGACCACATCAATGGCCTCCTGTGCATTCTGACTTCTGTTTTACTTGGCCAACGTGAACCCAGACAGAGGATCTGAGGGAGGAGTGTGAGCTCAAGATGCTTTATCTTCCACTATGGTGTTACTTTAAAGTAGTTGTGTTTATTGAATTGACTGCATATTCTCAAGGTAGATACTGTGTATATTTCTCTCTCCTTGTCTCTAGTAATGTCTCCTTTCCTGACTTCCCTCTACTCAGCAATTTGGGCCTAGGGCCAGTGACAGCTCTGCTGTTGTTTCAAGCCCTGTGGTTCCTCCAATTCCCCTGCACTTTCCCTAGTGGTCTATGCACACATTTATAATTAATCCCTTTTAAATAAACTTTCCAGATATGTTAATTTGATGGTGTCCTCTGTTTCTTATTAAGACCCTGCCTAACAGAATTATGTTGCAAATTAGACACATTGAGACTGAGACTAATGATAAGGCTAATGGGCTGGGAGTTCTGCTTTCTTCGAAGTAGTTTCTTGGTTTCCAACAGTTTTACCTGCTCATTTAATAGAGTGTCATTGACAACAAACAAGGTCTTGGAAATCCTTGCAGCTAAATCTTATGATTAAATTCTTTATCTCATAGGAGATAAATAAAGTCCCTCCAATTAAAAATAAATAGGAATGAAAAAAGGCAGCGGATAATAAAGGCAACAGAGAAAGAGACATAGAAACTGGAGTTGGACTCACAAAGGTTAAACAGGGTAATAAAATGGGAAGAGTAATAAAGTGGTGGAATAAAGCATTAGCTATAAATGGTGGTTATTGGGGCCAAAAAATATGAGTCGTACTGCAGGCTTGCTTGTCATCCCTTAACAAAGAGGAGTGTGAATAAAGTGGTGCCCTATGCAATTACTATTGTCAAGTTTCCCCTCTGTCTTGGGGCTTCAGGTTAGTTGGTATGGCATGAATATTCATATAATTATTCTTCATCATAATTATTGAAATAGGCAGAGGTATTCATTCTTTCTAGAGTCATCACACAGAGATTATCTAACAAGAAATAATCCAAAATACAACAAAAGTTCAATTGCTCCAAGCAATGATTAACTAGCTTGTGTCAGACTATCCTTGCATCTTAAAACAAACTGATTCAGATAAAATAATAAAAATCTAATAGAAGCCAGTGAAGAGCTTCCAAGGCATCAAGAACTTCTGAAACTGAGACCCAAGATTTCAGATGAATAAGCTTGGCATCTGGGGCCACTCATCCCTACAGGATTTACTGAATAGAAAGGAGGTGGCTAAAAGATTGGAATCTCTGCAGAGCTTCCAGCTAAAGTCCAGCCCTGGTTCCTGGTTGAGGAAGAATGGCCCTTGGAAACACATTGCATAGAGACCCCAAAGAATGGATTGCAGGAGTGGGCTGAAGGAGAAATTGACACACACTTGAAAGAATTGATACCCAGTTTTCAAAGACTCTGATTCCCGACTGGATTAATATCATCACAACACAGAACAGAGGATGCAGAGTCATATATATTTACATATATGTGTATATATATAATATATATTATATATAATTATAAGAGAATTGGAGCTCTCATGTGCTGCTCATCTCTCTTTCTCTCTTTCTATATATATATGAATATCTCTGCCCATATATATAATATATATATAATGAATATCTCTGCCTATTTCTCTCTCTATATATATATAGATATATAGTTAGATATATAGATATAGATATATATGATCTATGCATACATTTATAATTAATTCCTTTTAAATAAACTTTCCAGATATGTTAATTACAGATATGTTAATTATATGTTTATATATAGAGAGATCAACAGCACAATAGAGCTCTAATTCTCATATAATTATGTATAATAAATATATATGTATATATATATATATATATATATATATATATATAGAGAGAGAGAGAGAGAGAGAGAGAGAGAGAGAAAGAGAGATGGAAACATAGCATGGGGAAACAGTGGACCAAGTATGAACTTTCTGGACAAAGTATGAACTGTTTAATCCATGATGACAGAGTCATTGAATGTACAGATGAGAAAAAAATGACTTCTAACCATATGTAAAAAATAATTTCAGATAGAGTATTGATCTAAATAATAAAATTCCTTGAACAAAAACTTTGGGAAAATTATCTTTATAATCTTGGATGAGGAAAAGATGGATTAAAAATACAATAAAATAGCACTAATTAGAAATGAAAAATTTGGCAAATAGGACTGCATCCAAATAAAGAACTCCTAGTTATTCAGAAACACTATTAAGAGTAAAAAGTAAGATAAAAGTACTTGGAAGACATGAGAAAAATAGATTACTTGCATTATCTACTAAGGACTACTAAAAATCAGCAAGAAAATTGAATAAGACAACTCAATAGGAAAAAGACAAGAAGTATTATCATGTATATCTAAACAACAGTAAAATTATGATAAAGAGTTCAATCTTACTAATAACCCAGAGAGATGAAAATGAAAAATTTAATACCACTAGTTACCCACCCACATGTCTAAAATAAAGTAAGATGAGAAACTCCAAATTAGGGAAATTATAAGAGAATTAGAGCTTTCATGTTCTGTTGAGAGAGCTGTAAATTGGCACCAACATCTGGCAGTAACTTCTAGAGCTAGATAGACACATATACTTTGATCCAGCAATTGTACTGTTCGGTATATATAAATACAAACATGTGTGCACCAAGGGATGTGCCTGAGAATGTTCATAGAAGTTGTGTTGGGAAAAACTATTACAGGTAGAATTGTGCTCCTCAAAAAGGTATGTTGAAGTTCTAACCCACAGAATATGACCTCATTGGGAAGTAGGGATGCTGAAGCTATAGTTTATTATGATGAGACCATGCTGGAGTGGGGGGGGGGTTCTTAATTCAATAAGGCTGTTGTCCTTGTGAAAAGAAGGGATACACATGGGAAAGATGGTCTGTGACTATGTAAACACAAATTGGAATAACACACTTACAGGTCAAGAAATATGCGAATTGCCAGCAAACACAGAAACTAGAGGAAGCAAGGAAGGCTTCTCTACAGGTGTCAGAGGGAGCACAGCCCTGCCATTACCTTGACCTCACACTTCTATTACCCAGAACTACAGGCAATAATTTTCCATTGCTTTACACCACCCCCTTTAAGCTTCTTTGTTACAGAAGATTTAGGATGCAGTCTAAGTTTCAAAGTGGTTAAAAAAAATATATATATATCCATCAAGAATAAAATAAATAAATACATCATGACACATTCACAAAATTAAATAATATACAACAATAAACATAAGTGAAATGCTACAACATGCCAAAGCAACAATAAATTTTAGTGAAAGAAACCAGATACAAGAGAATATATAAAATAGATTCCATTATTTAAAGTTCAAAAAGAACCAATACAAATATATGGTGTGCAGTGTCCAGATAGTATTGTATTAGTATATGGAAAAGAATACAATGATTAATAAAAACACAAGAATGGCTTCTGATTTTCCATCTCCTAACCTGGATAAAAGTTTTTATTCATGTGTTTATTTTATGGAAATTAATTACTCACTTTTTTTACACTTTTGTATAATTCAGTAATAGCTTATAAATAAATTCAATAGTATAATTGAAATTTCATTCCATAAAAAGATAAAAATAACTTCACAAGAAGGAGGGTAAATATATTTACTTATTTCATTCCCAAGAGACTTCCCCTTGTCATAGTGTGGAAACAATAGAGGGTGGTAGGGGTATTTGGATCAGAAATGAAGCATTTCCTCTATTGATCAGCCCATCCCCAGAACATACTTCTCACAATTCCTGCTCTTCATTGTGAGTGAAGTCCTGCCGTCTTCCATTCAGAGGCTGTGGTCTTCTTGAAGTTTGGTTTATTACCTGAACCTAAATTCTGGCCCATCACCCTGCAGAGAAAAGCAAAGGTGGTATCAGTTGGAACTATTGAAATCAAAAGTTGTGTAAAGAATTCTCCAATTAAATCACGTAAGCTACAATTTAAACAGTTTTGTGAGGATTCAGAGGTCTTCTTAAAGATCATGAGCAATTCTCAGCATGTCGAAGGAATCAGTAAAGGATTGTGGTAAAGATCAGAGTCCCCTTTCCCTGGGTTCAGATTTCTGCTTCATCACCCAATTGCTCTGTGAATTTAGACAAGCTGCTTAATACTTGATTGCTTATGAACTTAAAATTCATATGCAAGATGTAATTTTATTCCATATGGAGAAAGGTGAACATGTGGGCTAAAAAGAAGGCAAAAATCTAAGCTAAAGTGAAAGGAGGAAATTGAGGCAGATTACATAATGCCAATTAGATCACACAGCAGATCCTGTTGACACAGTTGAGACTTCTGAGATTTCATTTCAAAGCAATTTGAATTTGAAATGTGACCTTTCCATATTGTCATACTAGAGGCAGCCTATTTACTAACTCTGAAGATATGTTTTTCTTTGTTTACCAAAATTTAAACTTCCTAAATTTTGTGCAGATCCCTGTTAAAGTAATCATCCACATTACTTCGTAATTGATCTGTGGCCCTCGGTTACGGGTACCACAGATAAATATTAACATTCCTCTGTGAACCCCTCCCCAAACCAAGAGAACTTTCAGGTTACAGATACCTCCAGACTCCAGCATTAGGTCTGCACAAAAGTAAATGATCAAAAAAAGATGAAAAAACTGATTACAGCTGGATGAAAATTATCAGACATTTAGAAATCTGAACATACATTCTATGAATCTAAAATGTATTCAACTTATTATTACCCATGCTTCTACAGGGTCAATATATTCATCTCTCATATTAGAGTGGGGGATATAGCTTAGTTGGTAGAGTGCTTGCCTAGAATGTACAAGGCCCTACGTTCAATCCCCAGCCTCACCACCAAAAAAAAAAAAAAGAGTAAAAATATGTTACAATTTGATTATAACACTTTCTGTTTCAGACCAAGTACTTATTGGAAGAAATGTTTGGCCCATGTTGTCACAAATTCCAACAAATCCCATGCATTAAATAATTTGTGCAAGAGACTGTGATAAATTTCTATATTTTAAGAAAGAGTATTTTTGAAGCATGGGAAAGATGAAATGTATAATTTTTAGTAGGTTATAGAAAAGAGTATGGCTTCTAAACTAACTGTTCTCAAAGTAATCCAAAGTAACTTTTTGATGCCACGCATGTTGGAACTATAATGTCCTTTCAAATGCATAATGAAAACATATTAAAGAGATGACACTGGTACACCATATAAGTGCATAAATGTGCATTTTTACTGGTTCCTAGTCAATGCATTTGTTTTGCATTTAAAGCTATTCATTGGTTTCTTTAAACTAAACTTTAATATTCAGAATGATGACAACAATTTTGATGATGACTTCTACCTTTCAGTTTTTCTAATTACAAGGGAAAACATTCATCCAATTTTCTTTTTATAACTGTTTATGTGAGGTAGTAATTCAATTGTCATCAAAACTACCCTAAAAGTTGGAAGTGTTCTTTAATTCCCTTCTAAGATGGATTTTCTTCCCAGAGTGTTATATTGGCTAAATAACATAAATAGTTTCATTCAAGCCCTGAACCAGAAATGTAGATTCTACAAAGGTATCATGATAGCATCAATGACCTATTACACCCTCCTTTTAGTTTATTTTTAAATTGTTTTTTGATTCATCAGCTAGTATCTGAAATGAATCATATGCATTATAAAGATGTAAAAAAAATCAAGGGAACTATGGCCATGTTCTAAATTTATACTATAGAATATTGTATAACAAAATCCATTCTAGGGAAAGTATTCTAAATTTATCACTTTTAGATTCTTTGCTTGGAATTGATTGGTAATTGTAAACTACAGAGACAAATCAAAGCAATTAAAGGATTTTACTCAATTGGATGAATTGGCCTGGAAATTTTCTATTGTTTCTGAATATTTATTTTACTGTTGCTAAGAATTTGAATCCACAAAGATATATCAAAGCCAACTGAATTGATTGATAAGATATTTGGAAAATGCCTAGATATTTTAACCATTTGTGTGACTGTATATGTGTATATTTGGGATCAATCTAATGCCTGTCATTGAGGCATAATAATTACAAGGAATAAAACAAAACAGAATTGTCGGGTTACTTTCAGAGTTGACTTAATAGAGAGGGCTTCCAAGAATATATTAATTGATCACTCAAAAATGAAAGAAATATTAAATACAAAAATTTTAAGATCACCTTGGGTATTACCATAAAATTCAGTAAGTACAAACGTTCCCTTATAGCATAGCAGTATTGGTCTTAGTTCCAGTTGAATATGCTGTTAATATTTAATATCTAATAATAATAAAAGACATAGAAAGCAGGAAATTCATTACTTTTAGTTTAATTAAGAAAAAGTTACTAGACTCACTACTTTAATTAAGAAATCCAGATGGCCCCAAATTTCAGGCATGAAACGTGCTACCACCTTGAGAGGTGTTGTCTTGGATAAGTTTCCTATTTTAAAATTATCACAGATGTTCTCCACCAGAGGAAAACAACTAAGCGGTGACTTACAGAAAACTCAATTTCTGAAGAGATATTCTGTTAAGTTCCAGGGACTTTTTTCAACATTATTTGGCATGTGATTTAATTGTTCAAAAATAAGGATTTCTGATCACCCAAACATTTCAGCTTATTGACCTATTCTTTTTAAAATGTATTTTAACACTGCAGTATTTTCCTTTTGAAGCAATAAAGATACACTGACAAGGACGATAATCTATTTCTTCCTCCTAGTGTTATGGCATATGCAAGTTGTTGATCATATTTTCCAGAATTTGTTAGGTATTGCAAAAAAAAAAAAATCCTTTCAATTTTTCAGTGTTTCAGAGTGAAATCTGCCAGAACCTAATCCCTGTACTGAGGCCCACAGCCTACAAACCAAGGAATATACACAAAAAGGAACCCAGAAAAAAATAATCTCCAGCTTTCTAGCTGCTTGTCATTGTTCTTGCTATTATGGTCTTGATACTTTTGTTTTGTCTTTGCTATACTGTGGCTGTTAATTCTCAGAGATACAGAAGTATCACCATTAATATAATATTTCAAAACCAAAAAATTTCTGCATTTGCTTTTTACTCTAAGATTTTCAAATATATTGGATTTATCATTTCCTTTGCCTCTGCATTGATCCCTTAGACAGAAAGGCAGAGTTCAGTTATCTAGCCTTCTCTCCAGCTCTCTCAAAGATATCCTCTGTGCCCTTCCTGGGTGTTTCTGTTTGCAAGATGCATCATGTGCAGCTGCTGAGACCCCACACCAGCATTGGCCAGCACAGCCTACATGATACCCTTTCCTGAGGACTGGAAGGGAGGATCAGCCCTCAGAAAGTATTCTGATGAACTTTTCCTTTTCCCCAATCTTATGAACTCTTTACTATTTTTTCTCATTACAAAACTGAGCTGTTTTTCTGATACGTCTAATTTTTCTACATTGAAATTATGAAAGCTTTATTTGCAAAACGTGACTGTATTTTTAATAGCATCTTCTATAAATGTGAAACAATATTTCAATAAAAAAATTCCATGAAAATAGCTAGGTAGGCTGTCGAGCATCTGTTATCTCAGCAACTTGTGAGGCTGAGGTAAGAAGATAACAAGCTGGAGGTCAGGCTGGGCAATTCAGTGAGACCCTGCCTCAAAATAAAATAAAATACAAAAGCACAGGGGATGTAGCTCAATGGTAAAGGGCCCCTGGATTCAATTCCTAGTATTAAAAAAAAACTAAAACAAAAATATTTCATAGAAGAATATTTAAATCTATCATGTCATTTTCAATGATTTGAGAAGAAACAGAAATATGAGCAAGAAATATGGCAGTCAGTGATAATGGACCTAAACAGTAGATAAGGGAAGATTTTAGAGAGAATAGAATGCTTAAGGATTGGGTCCTCTTTCTTCCAGTGTTGAAGATTAAACACTCAAGAAATACCAAGGCAAGCT